TTTCTATTTTTAATTCATTTATTAAGGAGGATGATATTTTATTTTTTATTTGAAAAAATCAACCAAAATCATAAATTATTAATTATTGTCTGTAGTAATTAATAAATATTAGTAATTAATAAAAAATTTTTCTCCGTTCTTTTAAATTTTTTTCATTTCCGTCTTTTTAGCAAATGCCTACTTTTATGAAACAAGTGCACGGATGGTACTCCGTCAATATAGGAAATATTTTCGTACATATCATAACACCAAAATTGCGCGCTAAATATGATTTAGAATCTTTATGGGGTGGATATGACGATGAAATTTCTGATGATCCTGATTTTACCTTTCCAGAATCAAGTGATTCTTTATTAAATTAATATTGGAAAAATGTAAAAATCTTTTATTATTGCATTTTTTATTTTCGCGAATATTATTTGCATATTTTTGAATTTTGTTCGAATAAAATGATTCGCATTTTCTCCCTTAAAGGCATTCTTTTTTTTCTGTTAGAAAAATTTAATAATAAATTTAATAAAGAAAAATTTAATAAATTTAATAATAAAATTTAATAATTTAAATTTAAATTAAACGACATCAATTCTCTCAAAAATTAATGATTTTTAAACTATCTTCAGCAAAATTGAATAGTAGATTTATTTTAAATGTTACGAAATTAGAAGAAAAAATGCATAGAATATTTTATCGATAAATAAAGGAAATTTGCTAGAGTCACAAATCATTTGGTTGTAAATAGGCTTAGACCACTTCTGGTGTTTTGCAGTTTATAAGGGTGAGGCATTTCAGCGAGCGATTTGGTGATAGAAGTAAGTATAGGCAGCCAATTGACGTCCTCTTTTAGTAAAAGGTTTTCATTTTTTAAACGAATAGAAATGAAGCGATACGATTTGCTATTAGAAGTGTCAATGTCAACGTTTATTTTGTTATTTTATGAGTATTCTTCTTCTTTATGAGTAAGTAAAAGTAAATTATAAGCGATAGGAATCTTCTATTGTTATTTTTATTTTCATGACTTTTTAAATAAAAGTTATTTAATCGCAATCGAAGAAAAAAAGCAAAGCAATCCCTTTTTAAAAAAATAATGAAAGAATAAAAATGAAAGAAACCCGTAATTTACCATGAAAAACATTAAGAAGCAACTTCGCCATTACTCGTTGAGGATTTGGAAAAACGCCATTCAATAATGGACGAATTTAGTGCATAAAGAATATATATCATCAAAAATATTTTCGGAACGAGAGGCATTTGCATATTTCCAACAAATATTCACAATAACATTAAATTTCACTAGTAAGAAAATTAATGAAAACAATTTTCATTAATTTTTAATCTTTATTAAGCACAAAAATATAATGCTATTACCATTACTGCGATATAAAATTTGGCCATTGGCTATGACCAATTTCCTTAAAAATAAAATTATGTAATATGTGATCCATTCAAACGTGAAAATACAGTCGAAGATTTAAAAAATAAACAAAAACAAATACAAAACCTTAAAATGAATAAATGCATAAGTTTCCAAAAACACGCACGCAGGACAACCTTTCCTCAAGCATAGAAGCCGACTTTTAGAGATGTCAGGCAAAGATCTATCCTCTGCCCATCGCTAGTGCCATAGACTCGCAAACGATCATTCTTGCTCATTTGAGATTTGGGGATGGCGAGGGAAGGTGGAGGGTAAGGAAAAGGAAAGGAAAAGGGCGAGGGGTATGGTGAGAGGAGGAAGTGGGAGATTGGAAGGCTTTGGGCAGGGACGTTAACGACGTGGCTGTCCTCGCCGTCATCATCTTCGTCGTTGTTCTCGTCGTCCTCGTTGTTGTTGTTGTTCTCGTCGTTGTCTTTTATCTTCTTTTTCTTTATATCTTTTATTTTTACCTTTTTTGAAAAATTCTTTTAGATTCAACTTTTTAAATTCGTTCAAGAATCACTCAAGAAATGATTGTCAATGAGGTGGCAGTGAATTGAATTGTACAATACTTGGCCAAATGAACTGGACCAAAAAAGGAATATTGGTGGGTAATGATAAAAATTTATATTCAGCAAAAGAAATTTTTATGGCTGCACGCAATACGTAACCGCTTTAACGCATGTGGATTGAGGCGTACTTCCTCGTCGACGTTCTTCCCGTCATCGTCGTTGTTCTCATCATTGTTGTTCTCATCGTCGTCCTAGTTGTTATTGTTCTCGTTGTCATCCTCGTTGTTATTGTTCTCGTCGTCGCTGTAGGACTACTGGATTAATTCATCGTCGCTTCAAAAAGGCCTTTTGGAACGCCGGAAAGTCGTGGACGATCAGACGTTTTTGCGCACTGAAGAATCACGACCTGAAGCAATTCTCATTGGTATCCATTGTCGTCTTCCGAATGCCAAGCATGTAAGTATTTTGTTTGCCAATATATTTTAATTTTTATTTTAAATTATCAAAGATTGACTTCGTTGAATTTTTTATACTATAAAATTATATTTGTTGCCTCTTCTATGCTAATTTATTTGTAGAAAGCCGATAAAAGTGGCGATGAACCGCTTCAACTAACGAGGAATGCAAAGATCAAGCATGTATATTCCTATTAAAAATGGTGAGTCCAAAAAATATTTTCCAGATCTTAATGAATTTAGTTATTGGAATTAATCCTACAATATCACTGTGGAAAAATTTTTTTTGCTTGTGTAGATTTTTTATCGTTCAACATTTGAATTCAGGTTTCGCAATTTTAGTGAAGCAGCTGAAATCTCTTGTCAAACATGTATGAACAAAGGTACGGCAAATATTTCTTATTAGAGGAGCGCGATAAAATTCTCGAATTAAAACTAGTGATGTGGAGACAGTAATTAATTACGGTTCATGTATATATCAGCAAGTTCTTGTATGTTTTGCTTTGGTTTTTGGCATATTACATTGTTAATTTCAGAACACTTTTGAAGATATGTGTAGTGAAAAGGATTTATTGTATATTGATAGAACGGTTCTTCTCTTTCGCATGATTTTTAAATAGTGATTTTTAAAAATATTTTTTTTTTTGCATATTTGACATTTTCAGATAACGACTTAAAAATTTTGTAAATCAGTGGAAAAAATAAGTAGTCAAGCGAAAAGAGCAACGTGACGCATGGTAACTTCCCCTTTGCTTTTATCCCAATCCATCAACCTCATCAAGCTGACCAATCAACGAGGCTGCTCAATTGAATATCCTGACAGGCCTTAGTTCAGAACGAAAATGTTTTTTGGTTAAAATGAAACGTTCTGAGAAAATTGCTAAAATTTAATATATTGGTAATCTTGGGCAAGCAATCAACGCGATTTCTTTAGTGTAAAAATTTTTTAGTAAAAAAATTTTTTATTGTGAAAAAATGTAATGTAAAAAATGTAAAAATTTATAGCAAATATATGAAAAGTGAAACGTGTAAGTATGAAATAGTGAAAAAACTTCGTTATGGCGCAGATTTAACTCTTTTTTTTATTGATAGTTGAATTTATAGATTAAATTTTCAGAATTTTCAGAATTTTCTTTTATCCTCTTTTTCATTCTTTTTTTTCAGAACTTCTATTCAGTTGTGTACCGGCGGATAGAACACCGACAAAATGTCAACCTTTTTCAGAACTTCTATTCAGTTGTGTACCGGCGGATAGAACACCGACAAAATGTCAACCTAAAGCTGCTTTATCAAGTGATATTTTGTCCATTTTAACGATTGTTCTCGACGAATACAAAGCAATTTATTGAAATAAAATTGAATGGAGACAAATTAAAAATGGAAAAAGTGGATAGAAAATAGGATTTTCTTGATATGTTACAATGATATAACTATTAGATAAGTTTATTTATACTTTACAAATATTGTTCATAATAAAAACTGAATTTTTCCGGACACGGGAATAGTTGCATGCGGATTAGAAACCTAACTTTCATTCTAAAAGGAGCTAAGAACGCTTGTGCTGAACTGATTATATTTTGCAAACCGATGAATTAAATGAAATTCGGAAGAAAATAGCGGCAATCAATCAGCAGTTAACTGAAGCACCTTCTGAATTTGAAAAGTGTAATTATCTTTTTAAAGAATATCTGGGAAATGGTGCGGTAAATGCGACCAATTTGATTTAAGGTAATAATATATGATACGTGAAGAAGTCTTGTACAGTCTTTTTAATAAATATCATGCAAAGAAATTTATGCATGCCTGAGAATAAAAAAATATGCTTGCAAGGCTTAAACCAGGTCGACATAGAGTAATGTTCATTTGGCTGCTGAAATATGCATAATTTTTATGATCTTAGTTCGTTATAAGCATATTTGAAAAAAAATAGTCCCTCAAAGACCTCCCGGGCAATCCCAACCCCCATGGGGCCATCTCTTTTTTGAAGAAGCCTATTCTTCAACAACCCCCTGGTTGGGTCAGTTGGTTGGCTCTCCTATAAAGTATGCCAAATGAATACAAGATAAATCTGTTCATTTGGCTGTTGAATTTTGTTTGTATGTTGTATGTTTGTACGGGTTTCTGTTTTCGAGTACTTTTCTTGAATAAATATTGCCAAGTAAATTGCTGAAGAACCTAAACAGGACATTCTCTATATGGAAATTATTGTAAAAATAAAAAATGAAATAGGGATGAAACAATTCTTTAAAGTATCAAAGAAAATTCGCATCTTCCGACTAAGAATAGTCCTTAGTGCATCTACCTATATGTCCCTTAAAATACGAATTGTCCGTGGCTGCGATGTATTCGTGCGATTGGATATTTATTTTGGGAAAAGGACTGAAGAACGCGTGCCGGAGAATTTGTTGGTTGCGCGACTATCTATCAAATAATTTCCACCAATTTTTTTAAAAACATTCCACAACAAATTCCAAAAGATTGAAATGCGAAATTAGAAATTCCAGTGACGACTTGCTTGCCTTTAACAGCGACTTGTAGAGACGAAAGAAGGTCGCAGTTATAGCCACAAATAACTGTGGTGATGCGCTTCATAACAATAATGCAAAGTACGCAAAAGTTTGCGGCTATTGTCATAATCAGTATAATTATATTCATGTTTTATTGACATTTTTATATACTAAAATTGTCTCAAATTCTCGTTTATCCGTAATCAATTCAAGATACATTGGAACATTTTAAACACGGATATGTTTTATATATTTTTATTGAGCTGAAATATTTTATCTAATAAAATTTTGAAAGTCAAATAAACTGTTGTACCAATAATTTGACGCTTACTGGTTTTTATGGCATTGCGAAGAATATTTCAAGGTAAAACATTGGAACATTGGAACATTTTTAGAAAAATATTAAATATTAGTTTTTATAAAAAGATTTTATTTGATTTAATGAGATATCCGCAAAATAGAGATATAATTTAAATTAATGAGGCTATGAATCAATAAAAGAATACAAAGATTTGTTGATTTTGAGATGGGCGAAAATATGAATAGAAACCTCGGAAAGATAAACAGAAGAATGAAGGTTAAATACGGACATATTTTATATATTTTTGTATATATTATATTATATATTTTATATATTGCATTGAAATATTTTATCTAATAAAATTTTGAAAATCAAATAAATTGTTGCACCAATAAATTGACTGGTTTTTATGGCATTGCGAAGAATATTTCAAGGGACTATATTTCTACTTTTTGCCTCAAACTATTTATAATTTAATTATGAATTTGAGTTGGAAAAAATTCCGTGTTTCATTGAAAGAATAGGGATAATTCTAGGTTAATTACTTTTAAAAATTATAGGATCGTCCCGCATCGACACAACTTCACTCGAAGCTTTTGGCCTCGAATATGAAACAAACTTACTTAATAACTTTGATCATTTTTATGTGAGAACCATCTTTTCCCAAAAATACGCCAATTCTCAAACTGAAATTTCATTCCATAAAGATATTGCATATTATGTAAGCAGCAACGATTTCATTATATTTTTTATATTGAAATATAAATTATAAGAAATTTTTAAAAAAAATTCAGCAATTAGAAAACTTTTTTTATCAGATGATAAGGTGTTTGATTTATGTTCCCTTTATTTTGAAGAGATTTCCTTGTTTTATAACCAATGCATCGATCAAGATCGAATAATTCGTTACATTTTGATCTAAAGATACAAGACGCGAGGTTTTTATTTCATCACCAACCTCTATCTTCCCTCCTCGGAATTATGCTCTCTTATTGAAACCTCTAATTATCCTATAAAACCTTGTATTAAGTTTCGTTCCTCGTTATCTATTTTTTTTTTAAGAGTCCTCACCATAACTGGTCAAACTCGCTCCGCTGGCTTGTCGCACTGGATAGATATGCCAGGGAATCCTTTGGCGACAGTGCAAGTGGGCTGCCAGCATTACCCGGATTTTTGGACAAGTTTATTCCTGTGGGAAGTAGATATTCAGTATTCGAATTAAACAACAATCATTCTACCCTCCTCTTTTTCTATTAAGCTATTACCTCCAAGGAGTCCGCTACCCCCTTGGATTCATTCAAGCCCTTCACTTCCCTTTAATCCGTCCTAAAACCATCACTCACTGGTAATATTCTATTAGTCTACACCTTTAAGAGTTCAGGTTCTAATCTTAATTTCTTTTAGTAATGTGAGGAAATGCCAAGTAATTCAGCAAAATTTGAGGAAGGTTTTTCTCATCTATAAGATGATCTTTTTATTATTTTTAATATTTTAATATTTAATCTCTTTTCTTAACATTTAATAAATATAAAAAAAAACCTAAATTTTTGAGAATTCTCATCTAAAGATGTTAAACATCATATAGAATAGTTAATGAACACAAGAGAAGATCATTATGACCGGTACAATACAATAAAACAAAAGGCAAATATAGTATAAAAACCCGATGTAAACATCAAGGGCCAAAAAAGATTGAAAAAAATAGTTAAACGATAAGCGCAAAATGAAAATTAAATGAAGTCACAATCATTAAATTTTGAAATATTTTAAAATATAAATTGAAAAAACGCAGTGAAGAAAAAATAAATAAAATTTGTACTAGGAAATGCAAAAAATATCATATCATTTGATTTATTTCATTCATTATGCTTTATATTTTCACTGCCATCTAATTCTACATCCAAAACTTTAATTTTATTGCAATGAGCCATTACCGGTGATTCGGTTTTTGAGGACTGCGTTGAACTGTCTTGTCCAACTTTGAAAATATTTTGATTTCGCTAAAATTAAGAGATATAAAAGTTTGAATCAATAGATTAAAATAAAATTAAAAAGATTATTTGGTATATATTTGGTATTTAATATACCGATATACTTATCCATTGACGCAAATGATGTTATATTAAAAGAAAAAAATAAAATGTCGAAAATACCGAAAAATTCAAAGAATTTTCACTGTTCACACTTAACTCTTACTGAAATTTTTTGCTAAAATCAGACAAAGAATATTAATTAACTTTTTCTTTTTATAAATTATTGAAACAAATTTTAAGTATTTTGAGTAACAATTCAAGCACTTTGAGCATTTTTCATGAATGATAAAGTAAATTTCATAACGATTCACATTTTCACATTTTCTGATCATATCGTTTTGCATCCGCAAAAACCTTTTATTAGAGTCCATTGATGGACTATTGGAAATCTCCGATTTACCATCAGTGATAAGGCTATTATCATGATAGTTAATAATTTCTAATTCTTCGTCGCTGCCATTTTCTGTAGCATTTTCAAATACATATTCTTGACTCGCACCACCATCATGGGACTGCAAATAATCGTAGTTTAAAATTTTATACCAATTAGAATATTAAATCAATAAATTAAAAAGAATTTGTAAGCAGTTAAAAGGAAAATGGTAAAATTAAACTTCTTCAGCGAAAATCGTAAAATTAAACTTTCAATGTCAGAAAAAACAGCGATGAGAATTTTATATACTTTGTTGAAGCAATTAAAAAATAGAAGAACCATTGCAAATAAATCAAGTAAGAAAAGAATAAAACGAACCTCCAGTGATAAAGACGGCTCTACTCTAACCGAATCAGCAAAATCAATTGTATCTGTGATCGATGTATATTCTTCATGTCTCTGAACACGCCTGATACTACCACTGGAAAAGAATCGATTCACTCTCCAAATGTTATTTTTGCACAATATAAATATATATATATTATTTAATTTATAAACTAGATATAATTTTAATCATAAATTTAATAAATTATTAAAATTTTTGCTGGTTAAATTAAGAAAAAAATGTTAATTTTTATATGCAAATAAACATACAAAATATTTCTTTTTTTAGAACCTGTGTTGGCGATCGCATTTGTCACCTGGCTAAACACAACAGGATCCAAAGAGATAAGACTTCCATACCTTTAAGCATTCGAATTAGAACATTAAAAATTAACAAATTAGAAAGAATTTGGAAACAATGAAAAGGAAAATGGTAAAATTAAACTTCTCTTGCGAATGCAAGGTTGCATTAGAATCGCAACCACTGATGGTAGATGTTCGAAAACGACGCTTTGGAATCGTTCCTATAAAAAATCCTATGATTACTGTCCTATAATTATTTTTGGTCAAGCGGAAAAGCGAATAAATAATAAAATAAATACGTTTCACATTGACTTAACAATTTAATATAAATATTATATATATTATGAAATCTTTTTCCACATCAATATATATTATGAAACCTTTTTCCACATCAAGTTTTTTGTCCTTTGCGATATTCATCGATTTACTTTGAAGAGTTGGTGTCTATAATGAAAAATGCATGCAAATAAAATGAAGAAATGAAACTAACAAATAATATATTAGAAAATATAATTAAATATCTTTAGAAAACGAATTTAAAAAAACAAACTTTCCGCTTGACATCAGTGGATAACTTCAAATGTGTCGAACTACATAGTCCTTTATCCGTGGAGGCAATGTTCACTTTTTCCTTATCAGCAATCAAAGGCATTGCAGCACTAATATGACGCATATAATCCACAATTTCCCTCTGAAAAATAAAGAACTCCCCAAATTATCAAAATAAAAATGTTTCGGTAAAATTAAGATCATACTTGCTGCTGTTCTAAAATTTCGAGTCTATTTTCAAAACTATTTTTGAATAAAGATTCTTTTTTAATCAGATCGTTAATGCGAAGAAGAAGAAGATCGGATCTGGAAAATAAATGACTTAAAGAATTATAAACGCATAAGAAATCTTTGTATAATAATTAAATTATTTATAAATTCAATATTATAAAATGTATTATTATTTATATTATTACATTATATTATAATATTATATTATTCAATATTACAAAAAAAATTCGTCTTCTGCTACGAATTGTTTGCCAGGATATGGCTATTTCGGCGTTTATTAATTTTATTGCCATTAGTATTCTTTTGATGATTAATATTTCATTAATATATTTCATTTCTTTGATTGAAAACAATATTTACTTATAAGCTATTGCAAAGGAAAAAAGGACCATAAAATGATTTTAATGATAAGCAAATCATAATTATTATTAGAATTGGATTTTAAAAGAACCTTTCAGCTGTACGATGAATTCTTTCTTCAACGGATATATTCTTTAAAAATTCTTTCTCACATGCCAAACTTTCCATGCAGTCTTCCTCAAAATCATGCAATTTTTCCACTTGATCAGGATCAAGAAATAACTCTAAAATATTTTTAATAAATCTAGATACTTTTTTTTTACTAAATTTATTCACTTTATTTTATTAAATTAAAAAATCCTCTTAAAGAAAAGATGAATTTCGAACATATTCGACGATTCTATTATAATTTTTTTCAATATATCTATTTAAAATGACCACAGTTTATATATGAAAATCGCTAGAAAAGTTCAAAATGCTCTCAAAATATGCGTTAACTAAACAACCAAAAAATAAAAAACAAACTCAACGTAAAATCGAACATTTGTTTTGCAGTCTTTTTTCGCTTGATGTTTGATTTCAAAAAACAGCAGCTAAAATTTCCAGAAATAAAAAGATATTCGCAATAAATGGCGAAATATATGTGTTCAAAATTCAACTTTTTCAAAAATTTTTGCAGATCATTTTTAAAATTTTCTTCATTACATTTTTTATTGAAAATTCTGTCCTTTTAATAGAAGTTTCTCGAAAATTTATCACAACTTTGAATATCTTTGAATATTGAATATCTTGCTTTTTTAAAATATAAATATGCCTTTAATTAACCGATAACCTATGCTAATTTCCATTAATGATTTCTTCTTAATTAACCTTCTTGAACGCATATATTTGATAAACATCCAAATATAATATATTGGAGTAAAAGGTGGTGGTAAAAAAGGTGTGCTTTCATATTCCATAACTTGTCTATAACGCTCAAACAACCAAATTTCTTTAGACATGTAATCCGTTTGAGAAAATATATTGCTAAAAATGTAAAGCGATATTGTAGTTTAAAAAATTGATAAAAAACTTGAAAGCTAGGTTGCAAATAAAACAAAAACATTCGATATGGAACGAAAAAATGCAAGTCTTAAAATATAGATACCCAAAATCCTCGATTTATTCAGAAAAAAAGACAGTGACTGAATCAATGGTTCTATGAACATTAGTTAAGAAAGTGCAACAAATATCGTTGCTAATACTTCACAAAAAGAATAAAAATAAACTTGAAAACAGCCAGCAGCATGCTCATCAAAAGAATATTAGCGACAAGAAGGAAAAATGTCATTAAAAGCGGAGGTAACCAATATCCTGGCACACAGTTCGTGGCTGAAAACGAATTTTTTTCATAATATTAAATTCATAAAAAATTGAAATACAATATAAGCCATTAACAAAATATACCATAAGACCCGTTGTACAAAACACTAATTGGGGTTTCCAACTCAAGATGTTTATCCCAAGCTGAAAAAAAATATAGTGAAATGAAAAATATTTGCAATTCAATAACTGAAAATATCATTTAAATTTACCAACTTTTTCTTGCAAATACACAGTTATTTTCATATAACCAGAAAATATTTAGAAATAAAATAAACATAAATATATGAAACCTTCATCACCGCAAGTATCGATTTCATCAGCATAAACTTCACCATAGAGCATAAAATATGGTTTATAAAAAACATTTCTAAGTAAAATCCAGTTCCATTCTTCATTTGGGTATGTTATTGACTGTCGCGCTAGACCAAAAGCCAAAAGTGATACAAACAATAGGACAATCATATATGCCATATTTTGAATCTAAATATAATTTCACAAAATGTCACAGTATTTAGTTATACTCAGAAAATGTAAAAAAAAGAAGCAAATAGCCTTGACACAATCTTTTTTACACTTTACCATTTTACCAGCCATTGTAATGTAGGGACCCATACGAGGATGAACGCTCAAAAAATCGAGTAATTTAATATTCCATAATACTGAATTACATGATAATATAATGCGTCCAGAAGCTCTATAAATTAATTAAGTATAGAAAATGTCCTATAAATAATCACATGATCGATTTTCAGATTCAGTGCAATGGCTGAATTGGATTTGGATTTCGAGATGAACAATAAACAAAATAAAATAAGAAAAATTAAGGAACATGGTTAATCAAAATAATATAAATTTGAAATCGCAAATAAAAATGGTCTAAAGATAAATTGTGGCTAGAAAACCTTACGCTGTTATAGGAAAGCAACGAAGAGTGAAACCAATAAAATATGTTATAATTGCTATTGTGGCTATGATGTTCCACACATTTGAGAAAAAATACTTCGCTTTTTGCCCAAAACCATCTGGTTCTGACATAATAAACTAAAAGGTTTATAAATAATGAGTTTGATCTCGAAAAGGAAAAAAATTGAACGATAAAACCTAAAAATCCGCTTTAATTTTTATCTAAATTATTAACTGAAAACAATCAAGAAATAAAAATTAAAGAATCAATAAAAAAAAACAAGAATAATAGAAAAGATTTGAGCGTACCTTTCGAAAATACTCGCAAGAACAGGTTAATATATATAAAAAGCAGAATAATTCAGCATAACTAGGCGAAGCTGGAGTCTTTACCAACAGACAATATGTATTAAAACAAAGAAAAACAACATAACTGAGTGTCCATGCCCAAAAGGTGGTGATAGGAGCCACAAAAAATTCATACAACTTACGACGCAATTTTATAGGTCGCTGAAATCCTAGATAAAAAGTAAACTCTTCGGTATCACAGATAAAACCATTGAAGCCAATGAAAGCCATTGAAAACAAAATTAGGCTACGAAAAATAATAGAAGAAATAATATTACAATTAACTTGGAACTAACCATTCTTGGTACAGCTTGCCCTGCTACACTAACAATATTTTTAGCACGCAAAGCACCAGCAAAATTTTTTTCACTATCTGAATGGAACGATTTTTTCGCTATTCCAGAGGGACATTTGGCGTTATTGGAAGTGGCCGACGTACGACTGTCAGCACGACCTCCTAAACGAATTTTGTTGGGATGAAAATTTCAAAAATCGAGTTTTTGATAACAAAATTTCATAAAAAATTAAAATTAAAAATTAAAAATTAAAAAGATGAGCAACAGAAAATTTTTTAAAAATTAAAACAGAAAAACCATTAAAACTGAAATAAATAAATAAAATAAAATAAAAACTCAAAATAAAACTAACGCCTACGACATTTTGACGATAGTTGCCTAGATATTGCTCTTTTCAAGCTGAAATTCGTATTCGTACTTAAAACGGATGCAGTACAAGCACGATTTTCGTCTTCATGAGGAGCTGATAATCCTTGAAATTTCAGTTTTTAAAAAAAAGAGAAATTTTTTTTTTCCTAATTTCTCTTGAAAAGATGCATAGGCAAACGAAAATTTTACAAAATCATAAAAATGTTAAAAATATGCCTTTTTTATTTATATCCAATCCACATTTCGAAGCTATTGAGATTTTACCTTCAAAAAAATATAAGCGCAAAAAATAACCAGCATTAGTTCCTGTATTTTGTGGTACAACATACGAAATGTCGGCCTGAGCTGTAGCCGTACTATTCGCCACAACATTCTGTCCGCCAGGATAATGCGGTCGTGTATGTTTACGACGACTGTGAAAAAGCTGGAAAATAGTAGCGGATTTCACGTTATCATTTTAGATTTTTTTGAGTGGTCCTCACAATTTTTATAACAAACTATATGTCAATATGTCAATAAAATGGATTAAACCGAGAATAAACGAAATAAAATAATACAAAAAATAGTACAGAATAGTACAAAAATAGTACATAAAAAATAGTACAAAAGAAATAAAGAAGAAAGCTCGAAAAAATTTTATTTGCATTATTGTAAAAAAGAGAAAAAACGAACACCCGCAAGATTCAAAGACTGCACACTTTCAAAAGACATTTTTCGTTTTCCATGGTCGTCATCACCCTAGATTTTTTGAAAAAATTGAAAATCAGTTGAAAAAACTGAAAATTTAAAAAAAAATTGACAAAAAATCAAATAAAATGCCAAATACTCAAATGATTTTTAAAAATTTATAATTTTTCTTCATAATTCTTTCGCTGAGAAATCTTGGACTATAACTTATAGTTTTATATTATTGAGAACGTTGGATTAAATATATACCTGGTGAGATGCTTCATCACTACTATAATCAGAATCAGACGAAGAATCACTCGCTGAAGAACTAGAACTTGAACTAGAACTATAATTAATATCGTCCTCATGTTCCGCCACTGTCTGTGGTTGAAGCATCAATTCTTCGCGAGACTTGAATTCAAGAAGAAATATGTAGAAAGGACAAAGTAAACCGCAAAGCACTTTCAGATTTGAATGGCTGAAAAAAATGATAGAATCTTTGGCGACATTGAGTCACAAATTTAAACTTAACTTGAACTGAAAACTATTGAGATTATTATAGAATTTCGATTGATAACGCAAAACTTTATTATAAACTGCACCAAAAGTAAAGTCCAGTGGGATCAAGCCAGTGAGTGGAAAAAGAGGTGGCTTCAAATATGGCATCAATTTTTTGTTATTATGAAAGTTTTCAGTATTTGTGAATTTTTTACCAAATAAAATAAATAACAGAAATAACACAACATAAAAAAAACAACGATCATTCCTATTAATGGCAACAAAGCCAATAAATTATAAAAACATAAATAAAAAACAATTTTTAAAATTGTTTGTTATTGTATTGTTTTTTAAAAACTGAAAGAAACCTGCGAATCCGCAAGCCACCATGCCATAAATCAGCCAAAAGTATTTGACAACTGGAAAGAATTATATGTGAATTTCATTAAATGGGCGAAATAATCACCAAATTTTAAATTTTAAACAAAATGAATAGAAATTTAAGTACCACGGGTGAGCAAAAAACTGTTTATTTCGGACGATTACTGCAAGCGACAAACATGTTTCTTTGCCCCAATTCGACAGTTCATAAGTTAGCAGCTTGAGTGTTTGTGCATCATCATTTTGGTAGCAATGCTCCAGTAACGATAATGATAATTTACGGAACTCTCTATAATAAAATATTCTTTCATAAAGTACACATTATAAACCATCGTTGACCACAGTAAACTAGTAATAATGCATCTCCCTGTAAATCGAAGAACTCTCATTGAGAACTGCAAAATAAGACCAGATATTGTTGCATCAATTTCATAAAAACAAGATTACTACTTTTATATTTCGCATATTTTTTTAATTTTTATTTTGACTTTATAACAAAAAATAAAAAAATGACGTTCTGACTTTTTTTTCAGTTTTTACACTTAACTATACTATATGTGCGGTCCAAGCAAACCGAAAGGTTGGACATTCCTACCATAAATAATACCAAATATATAAAGTTTATTCTGCTTGGATATTTTCATTATTTTCATTCCTTCCGGAACTATTTTCATTAGTCATTATATTAAAAATTTATTAACATAAACGAATTTATCTTCTCTAACAATGAAAAAATTTATAGTTAAGAGGCATAAAAGAGGCATTGATAAAAGATATGAGGACTTTTTAAAATTTTACCAGACCCAGCGATTAAATTCAAATTTAATTTTAATTCAAATTTATACTTTTAGCTCACTAATAACTCGTCAAAAAATCGTCAGATTTTTAAATTCCAAATTCCGTTTAATGCGACGAAAAATTATAAACATTGAAAAATAAGAATGAAGAAATAAGATCACACATTCCACAGTTAGCAAATAAATAGTAAAAATACTTACTCGGCATATTTTCTCAGTTCTTCACATATTTCGACTTCAAGATAATCTTCTGCTGCTTCTTCTGCCATACTTTTATACAATCTGCACGCAACAAGTGCCTAAAATTTAAACAACTGCAAAAATCTGTTAAAAATTGGAATGTAAGAAAAATGGATATATAAGACTAAAACAAATGGAACAAAGTTTTGAAGAACCAAAATTCGAAAACTTGGAGAGTAAAATCAAACGATTTTCTTTTCACGAGTCCTCACCATTACTGGCTAAACTAGCTCCGCTGGCTTGTCGCATTGGAGAAATATGCCAGGGAGTCCCTTGATGATAGAAATACAGCCAGCACGGATTTTTGAACAGATTTACTCTTGCGAGGAATCGAACCTCAGCATCGGCGCACCGAATTTAGCAACATTATATTTTGGCCCCCTGAACCGTTTTATCCACAAAACAACCAAACGATTATAGAAAATGGAATGAAAAAATAGTCAATATATATATATATATATATATATATATATATAAACATTATATTTATTATATTATTATATTATTTTATTTATATTTTTCATGTAAATTTTTGTATTTTTGCATTTATATTCTAAAAAATAAAAAATAAATTTAATTTTTAAATATTAAATTTGAATGAAATTTCAATTTTGAGAAAATTTTGAGACAATCTGAAGGCAAACTTTCGCCAAAGCTTCTTCGCCATGTTGCCACATGCATAAAGCCATTTCTTGTCGTTTTGTAAGAACAGCCCAAATAAGAAGTTCATTAAAGGGATAAGTGAAATCATCTTCACGTTGCTTGTCGACTTCCGATTCACAATCTTCAATATTCAATACTTTTTATAATTCAGAAAGAGTAATAAACTTGTTATGCAAAATATTAAAAAATGCAATCCGAAAATGGAACCATGATAAAAGCAGAACCAAAAATATCGAATTCTTGTGCGGAAAAATATTATCAAAAAAATACCGTTATCAATTGTAATTACTGTTTCTTTTAAGCCATTGAAACTAGACGGTGCATTGCCGACTGGATTCTAAAACTTTGCTTTTAAATTTGTTTAAACTCTATCTCTAGAAAATTTACCCCCTATAAAGTTCTCAAATCTTGATGCAACCAGAACATTCATTTTGATAATATTTCATTTCATTTTGGATAGAGATTTCGATGATCACACTAAGCATATAATATATTCAAAAATATCAAAGAAAGAAGCGTACGATACGATAAGATCGCCAAAGTATATGGTTACTAAGAGCTCGACTGCCTGAAATTGTCGCCATGACTGCCTGACCAGTAGGCGATGGATCTGAGCCATTTGCTACAGAAGAGTTATTAAACATATCGGATGAGTAAGAAGTTCGAGAAGTAAGTCCGTGATGCTGATTTTTCCGTATTTCCTATAACAGAACAGAAAAGGAAAAAACAACATAAAAATTAATTTGTCTTTTGGTCCAATTTTTTTTAAAAAGATAAGGTTATAATTTTTAAAAAGTTAAAAACCTTTATAAGAATGAGCTTTACAATTTTTTTCTAACAGGAATTCCTTATAAAAGATGAATCAATTATTTTTAATCAAAAGAACCCTCACCAGAGGAAATATAGAGACAGAAAATGCAGTTTTCGGATTAAAGTCTTAAGTCTTTAACTAGATGACGGGAATTCTTTGAAATTAAAGTGCGCCATCTGTCACTTTGGAAATAGCTGAAACGCTCGTCTCGTCATATTTTTATAACTACGAATACAGAAAAAAACAATTTTCCTCATTTCAAAAGCCAATGAAATTGTCCGAAACGATGGTCTCTTCTAAAGTCCTCATATGTTGTCCATATACTGCAACGGAAATCCTGACATGAAAAAAAATTAGTATCAGATGAATCGATCTGAACCGATCCTATTTCTAATCCCCAAGAAGAGTGGACGTGATTTAGGAACTAAACCAAAAGATTTCTAATAACTTTCGCTTCTGTTCTTAATAAACTTAGTACAAGACAGTAGGATGCGTTATAACAGTTGGATCCAGAACATACGTAGGTTTGCTAACCAACTATTGAAGAGTGTTGGAACAATGCTTCATATATAAACACCTTACTTATTTTATTGATTTTACAGTTGCCCTCGTTAACAAAGGGCAGTGAAATGCGAAGATGTATCTCACAAAGGCATTTTACCAGAGAATATCAGGTCTATACGTATAGGAATCAACAGATGATTTCGAAGAATGCGTCCATCAGGACTGTGTCCTTTCTTTTAACAATATTCGAATATTTCGAATATGCGACAGATTTGATAATGGGGCATCGCTCGCCGACAATCAAGAATATATAAGTTAGTACAGAGCATGCCACCATAGATCTTGAAAGCGTAAGGACCTGAACTGAAGACAGAAAAGAGATTTTGAAAATGTAGGCGATTGTGGGCTTACATGGAAAAAGGAGTGATTTCTTTTAATTCTAGGCACGGATCGAACGGCCTGGAAATGCCATCGTAATCAGTGAAACCATCCTAATCAATTGAAGCGAGATGTAAACAAAAATTTTACCTTTAATTCTTCTTTATAACGTCTATATTTAATCTCAAATGCTTCACTCGTATAGAACGACTTGTACGCATTACCCATCAATTTCTCCACAGCTAAGCCAATATGAGGAATTCGATATCGATATCCTGGTCGAATTTTAACGACATCACGAACAATATAATATAACGTATTTGAAGGACCTTTATCCTAAAAAAGGATCTAAATTTAATTAAACGAATTAAAAATAATAACTGCATGAGATGATAAAAAATTTAAACAAATGTTAACAAAAATAAAGCCTTTTATTAAATCAGTAACTCGGAAGAAAAATTAATGAGTAGAAAATTTTATCAATAGTTAAAATTTCCACAGCTAATATGAGTTGCAATCAAAAGGTTAGTTAAAACGCACCGTGTTATATAGTTCTTCCAGCCGCCCTATAGTTAAAAATTTGTTCATACTAACACCATTTTCCAATAATAAACGCACGAAGTCCACTCGATCATTGATAAGGGCATCCATCATTGCATTATGCAAAGCCGATTTAGGCCACTCCTACATGAATTTAATTATATTCATGGGAAAAATAAGGAATAATCACAAAAAGAAAACGAACTTGGCCAAGAACGAAGATATCAGAACGAGCTATATCAACTCGATTCCAAGCCAGAGCTAAAGCCAATTGATCAGAAGGTGAAAGATTCTGACCTTTTAAAAGTGCTGTCAAAATGGCATGGTCTACATCATGTTTCTCGCTTTCACCCAAACGAAAAACCGTTATCTAAAACCGTTATCAAAGAAATAAAAAGAATTTATATTGATAGCGAATTAAATTTAAATCAAATGACAATCTATATGGCTTTTTTTTCGATATAGAGTATTTCAGTAATTATGTCAATTTATTTAGTTAATTTAGAGAAAACGGATAATGATTAAATTAATTTCGTACCAAATGTTTTTGCGCCGCACATAGTGTTAATTCTCGCAAAAGTTTTTCAGCTGTTTGTTTATTACAAGCAAAAACGGATTCAATCAGGTTTAATAATTGAGGTTTAATCAAATCGGGAAGCTTCCTGTAAAAAAAAGATTTGTAAATGAAATTGTAAACAGTGAACAAATGACAAAACTTTCATCAAACTCCCATTTTGAATGAATTAATCCAAATAAAATATGAATTCATACAACTGATTACTGTAGTAGCCTCTTAACAAAGCTTTTAACGAAAAATTACCCATCCTCTTGGATATATTGATGAGTGAATGCCAGTAAATCAGCAGCTCGCCCACTACCATCACATACGACAATCGGTACTTTCGGATTACTAGAACAAACACTAGAGATAAAATTTTTTTACTGGAGATACAAAGGGTAACAGATGTGGAAAAATAGGGACCAGTATAAATGTTTATTGGTATACTTTGTTACATAGTCGTGAACAGCACGAACTGTGCGAGTTCCACCTTCAACAACCAAACAAACAACAGGCACACTTCGGGATCCATCACCAATTTTCTGTTTCTGTGCAATATAAGCTTCTAACCTCTTCCTCAATATCAAATCGGCTCCATATCTAGAAAAATAAAAATTAAAACTAAAATATGATTAGAAATTAACCAAATTCAAATAAGACATAATACGACTCATATCGGACGACATTTAAAATATTTCCAAAAATAATGCAAAGCTTTATAAAAAAGCAATAGTTGGCAAGAAAAACACCAACCTGCCAATAGTTCCATTATCTACAAGAAGGAAGTGTGAATGACGATTATTTAAAACAGCAAATTTTCCTTTAGGCGAAAAAGAATGAGGATGATATTGTATAACAGTATTCTAAAATTTTAATCGGAAAATACACATAATGATGGAAATTTAACATTTTAACATTTTTGGGAATTATATGACAGAAAAAATGTGCACAAATCTTCCACCAAATGAAAATAATTTCCAAAACCAATTTCGACAAACAGTCGTCTTTCACAATAGTTTTTTAATGGAAAAGAAAACTGGTTGGACCTGGCCAAACAAATCTTCCTTCTTTTTCAATATTCCCCACGGCACAATACCAAGACAAACAACTTTTGATCGACTTCTTGATGGGCCGCCTGCACCATCAAACGCAGCAGCGACATGACGCGCTACACCTGCATTAATCCCTAAAAAACTTAAATCTTAAATATTCATTTCGATCAAGACTTTCACTTGCAAAAATTTTGTTATAAGAGAAATAATTCGAATTATAATTTTAAACATAAAATATTTTTAAAATGTTTTAACGCTAAAATTTTAAGGTAACGTATTCACTGTTTAAAGCAATTATCGTTCCTTTGCAGAGAAACAAATATCGAACCAGATGTTATAATCCAAGCTCCAGTGGTTGTGGCAGCCTTCAGAAGTCCTTTGCGGATAATACGAGCTAATTTTGGTTGCAAGCTGAAGAGAAATCTAATCGATAATAAAATAACTAAAGAAATATGAAGCAAAAAGAATGATGAATAAGATTTACAGAACAATACGATTCTTTTGAACAATAAACTTGGAAACAAAAAAAACGACTGATGCCAAACCCACAATATAAACAAATCGCATAAACTAGTATTATTCTCTGATGTTAATTTTTTTATCGATATTTTTTAAAACAAATACTTGAAATTTGTAGTTCCACCATGCACCGTTATAATAAGCTTTGGAGGAGGCATTTCCCAAATTTTTTCGAACAAATCCATAATATGAGCTGGATCGGTATCATAACTCAACCTCAGAAAATATGCTTTATGTGGATGAGGGCCGCCTTAAAATATCAGCTACAAATTGAAATTTATCAAAAAACATCAAATCTGTGACTAGATTGATATAGCAAATATTAATTGAATCATTTTGAGCAGAACCTTGAAACTCGATAGTTCCATAAGCATCTGTGGGAAACAAAGAAGTATGCTTTCGAATAGACCACTTTTCGTCATGTATTTTATAAGATCTCCTAAGCTAAAAATATATTTACTTTTGAAAATAATTCCATGCAATTCAATGAAAATAATTCAATAAAAAATAAAAGTAAATCTACGAAATTCGATCTAAAAATAGATGTTATAAATAATTCTTTTTCAAATACAAAAGAGGTGAATAATATAAGGTAATTTGTCTTCATGAACAATTTCAACTTACTGGACTATCACTTTCTGGACCCGTTATCTCCTGCTCACGATCTTCTTCACTTTTTATATCATCTAAATCCTTCTCATTATGAGATACCTGATCGACTGATCGATATATATTGAAAGCATTAGACGTATGTGCATGTCGCAACCTTCCACATCCGCATCTAAACTAATAATTCGTAAATTTTATATCTTTTTTTTATATACAGAGCTATACTGATTTATATTGCTTTTTTTACGGAATTTTATAAATAAAATTTTAAAAAATAAAAAGTAACAAATTTCGTAAAAAAAAATTATTTGCGCATTTTCGTCGATAACAAATGCACTCTTTACTCAATGGTGACAAAAATAAATCTATTAAGCAAACACGCCTTTAATAATAAATTTTATTACAATATTGTAAGTATTGAGATACTATTGTTATAATTCTCGCAATGAATTTTTTCAAATGTTCCATGAAATTTCTTTGGAAAAAATTTTTAAATTTTATTCATTCATAAAAGTTCTAAATTTTTGATCCAGCTTTTAAGAAATGCGTGACCTTATTTTGGACTTTAAAAAATTTTACTTTTGAGGGTATTTAACACTGGCAATAAATTTTGCACAATCCCTTTTCTTGAAAATTTGCTCGATCCATATGTTATGCTGCAATGACTAAAAAAAAAAAAAACATAAGACGAAATCGATATGTGAAGTGAAATTCAGACGATTTAATGGCAATGAAAGAAAAAGAAAAAAGTCATTAATAAAAAAATCTAATTAATAATCTAATTACTCTAAAAAATTGATCAAAATAATAAAAATTTTATGGTTCATAATTTTCATTGAATAATGAATTAGAATGAGTTATGAATGAATAAAGAAAATATATTAATTTGCAAAAAAAACTAACAGAAGTACTTGTAGCTCGAGTACTTCGCATGTGCAAGTTTCCTGTTAGTGAAGCCATACCGATCGAATCGAATGTGCCTCCATTCGTCGTGTTCGTCATTAGCTCCTGAAATATTCCGAAAAAATTTCGACTTATCCTTCTCATTTTCAAAATTAACAACTATCTGCTCTCTTTTCAAAATTATTATACTTTAAATGAATTAAATTAAAAAAAAAAGACCAAAATTCTGAATCGATGTAAACAAAATGTTATAAAATTTTAAAAAAACTTAAAAAGCAACGATGTTAGAAATTATGCAAATTTTTTATAATGCTTAATACTTTATAATACTTTAAAGTAGGAAATGAATAAAATTATTAAATTATAAAACTGATGAAGAATTTCACCAAACAAATGGACTATTTTTAAAAAATTATGCATAAATTCTAAATTATGCAAAAAATATATCGCATAGCATAGCACTCAGCACTAACTCTTTAATTCACAATATTAATTGGTGAGAATAAAAATAAAAAATAAAATAATAAAAATAATGAAGGACGATGAATATTAAAAAATCTGCGCGCTACACATTTACTTAAAACGAAACATAAAAGGTCGAACGCTGTGCTGCGCGACGCGAATGGATAGAAAGAGAAATTAATTGCGCATCGCGCGCTCTACTTTAACGCGAGAAACTTCCGACCAGAAGTGAACGTTGCTCGCTTACAAATCGTTTCTCTCGGCCGTGCGATTCCCAAGCAAAACTAATCATTCAATTAATCAGCGAAGTTAATCGAACGAATGATAACGAATATTGAGTAGAATGAATTAGCAATCGCTGCGATGAAATTCTTCCATTTTATTTCAGTAAAAAAGAAAAAATATTTTTGAAAATTGAAAACATTTAAGAGAAACGATGAAAAATAGCGATCGATTTGCCAAAAATGCAACAAAAACGGACCTTTCAGCGAAGTTTGTTTGTTAAAGTAACGCCTTTCTAATATAAAATTATCTTCAAAAATATGGCAAACATCAGAAATTCCTTTCTTATTTATACAAACAAATATATATTAATATTGTCATTTGAAAACGATTTGAAACGCTTAGGCTGATAATTAGTAATACGAAAAATAGTATTTGGAAAATTCCGCGGCTTGTCCTCGCGAAATTACAGCCCCTCCTTTTTTGTACAGTGCATATTCAAGGTGTTTAAGAAAAAAGTTTGTCAGTAAAATTAGTTCTTAAGTTATGAGAAGGTTATTAGAAAACTTTGCCAGAGGCACGCGTGGGTCCTTAGCACCGCAAGGATCCTTTAATGATATATTTTTTTCCGTTGGGCTCCGTCAGTTCGCATTAAATCACGATAAACTTATAAAAATTAGTATAATTTTCCTTATTTTCAATAAATCTGGCATTCTCCCTTACAGTCGTTACATTGAAATGATATTAAAGCGACTGCTAAACAATCGAATATCAATTTCTTTCGTAAATAACCATTTAGTAATAATTAATGACCGACGAACTAAACAATTCTTTTATAATTCTCGATTTTATCTTCTAAAATTAAGTGCAATAGTAAAAGATTAATAAATGAAGGGAAATTAATAAATTATCGATTGGGAAGGTGCCCAAATTTAAATGTCTTAGGTCCACTCTAATCCCAAATGGCCAGGCAAAGAATAAAATTGTGATAACCCAGATAATGACAGCTAGGAATGTTTTTCCAGTTGAAACCTTTAAGGAACCGTTGCAAAATCGCCATAAAGTCAAAAATTCTCATCGATATAATTGTAATTCGCTCGATCTAACTATGTGGTTGCGCAACACAGCCAATGAGAGAGGACGATATTAAGAAGCTATCAGTTTTTGACCACTCTTATCTAAGATACACTTTACGGATACGTCGAGTGGATAAAATCGCACATGATTTATCCATCTTAGCTGAATTATCACCTGTATTAATAATATTGTCACAGAGCGTCGCTTTCTCTGGTTAAACCACCTTCTTCGTCATCCACGACAGGAGTTGATGCTTGTTTCACTATTTGTCGAACTTTGTGGTGGTGGCACCAAAAGCGAGGAGTGCCAGTCAAGATCTAGACTGATATATTCAGGAAAGATTTTGAACGTATAGGAGGGCCAGCGATATATGGAATTAGACGATGGAAAAAGGAATTCCTTCTATTCCTACTAATAGGGATGGCGTCGGACCAAGCAGCTTGGAGACGTCTTACTCTTACAGCCAGCAGAGCCAGTCCAACCAGTAATGGTGAGAAGTGTTAGAAGAATAAGAACAAGTAAAGAGAAGATGGTTCGAAGTCCGCAAATAAATAAGGTTTGAATGAATTCTTAAAAGTTTATATCAGAAAATGCGGAAATAAATTTAGATTCAATACATTAAAAAATTAAAATAAATAATAAAAATGAATTTCGATTATATTTCAAAATTTCCTTAAATTTTTCATAGACTTGCATTGATTTTGCAGTTTCTAATGGACAATCCGAAGAGGGAAGAAAAAAAGTTTAGAGGAGTAAATTTTTCTTAGCCCTTGGAAATATTGAAATTTTCACGTTACAACGATGTATTATTGGCAAAACGAAAGTTACTTATACAATATGACGTCTCATCTATTTATTTACTCGCTTAAATAATTTATACAATTGCTTTAATAATTTACTTAAGGAGTTACTCTTATCTAAATAATTACTAAATGATCTTTCTATAATAAAATGTAGCATAACTAAAATTATTCCTACGGTAATTTACTGATATGATGTTTAAATGATAAAATTTTATCAATAAATGAAACATCTTCAGTGATTAATATTAAATAAAGTTATATTAATGCTGTTTGAAAAGAAGTTTTTTAATCCATTCAAAAATATCAATAACAATTTGCTTGAAGTATTCTCGTAGAATCTCCTTATGCTCCCTTAACTTCTTTTAGCCTCTTTTATTTTGATGGTACCTTTAAACACCTCTTTCTCCCCGATAAAGAAATGATATATGCCGTAGTATTTATAGTAAAAGCTCACTCAAAACAATAGAAGCCATAGTTTCATATATCTAACAGTTTTAGTCCACTAGAAAATATCTGAGGAAACGAAGATATCTGGTTTGACTAGTAAATAAATGGAGCATAAGGATTCGGACCCTCGGCCTTCCACTAAAAAACGGACCCGGGTAGTGCTGGTACATCTATTACTACGTGGCAAAAATTTCTAATCTTATTAGGAGCCAGTGGAGCGAATCTGTAACTGGCAGTTGCGATGGTTAATCATTATATAGTTTAGACAAAAATTCGTTTGAAATATTGTAAATTATAATTTAAAAAATTCAGCAAATTTTTAAAAAATTGCAAAATTAAAAATAATTTATGTTTTGAAAAATTATGCGTCGAACCTTACTAGCTGACATAATGCGAGTGCAGTTACAGTTTTTATCAGAAGTGCCCATCGAACGACTATGCCAATCAGCGACATTCCGCTCAACGTCAAAAATCTTATGCGGTTGTCGCTTCGACCATAGCAATTCCGATTCATCATCGACACCTTTGCAATATTTTCTATTTCAATTGGGTTGAAATTATTAAAATTTTTTTTCATACCTTTATTTTTGCCTTTCATCACCTCGTATAATAAATAAGGGATGGCTAAGCTGTTGCTCAGATTATCGCCAATGTCAGAATCTCTCTAACTTGTTACTTAACTGCGCTTCTATCTTCCTCTGACTTTCTAGCAAAAATTTCTAACAGCCAGTCTAACTAGAAATGATAAGCGCCAATCACTTAACTTACTTATAGACAAGCACAAATGCGCGCAATTACTAAAATTTATTGATAATGCGCAAATGATAATTTCGACTTCCGACATTTTTATTTCATTTATTTCATTAAGGAATGCTTTATTTCATTAAGGAATGCTTTTTATATATTAAAAATGAATGCATTAGTAGTGAAGCAAGAAAAAAAAAATGAAATTTTCTTTAAATTCATTCCGACTTACAAGCAGAAGATTCGGTTAATAATCTTTGTTCACTGTTATCACCATCGTTATCATCTTTTGTTTCTAATTTCGAATATCGTTTAGCCATTTAAATAATAGTATAGTGGACCGGAAAATAAAAAATCTTTTCGATTCCTTTACAATAACTCGACAAATTAGCGAAAACTCCTGAAAAATTTCCTAAAAATGATTCGATCGATTCATTTAAATAAATTTTAAAACTGAGATTCGAAATCTCATAGGCGTTTAAATAATTTGAAGTTATCTTGACGAGTAACTGTCGAATATTCATTAAAAAACTTTTAAAAAAACGAAAAAACGAAAAAAAAAAACGAAAAAAAATTCATAAAATTATGAAATTAAAATTGTTAATTTCGAAAATTAACAATGACAGTGGAACTTAATTAGATCGCTGTTTATTTATTTATCCAAGCAGTGCTAAATGATATGCGTTGGTGTTAAATGGAAAAAAATCAAAAACGAAGCAAAGAATTGCAACGCTTTCCATTAGTGGTTAGGCTTAGCTTGCTTGTCGGAATGGATAAATTTTGCCATGGAATCACTTGGAGATAAAAATACAGATCGCCAGTCGCCAGCAACACCCAGTAAAAGAAAAATAATCAAATGATATTTCTAGTATTGGATTTAAAATAATATATCTTTGAATAATTTCGTTAACTGAATTATTGAATTTTTTGAAATTGGAGTTTCGACCTAACAAACAGCACCCCTGGATAATTGTTCCGACAATTAAAGATCTCGCAAAAACAACATCCTTGGGCAATTTGTTCCAGTAATTAACGTTCCTAGAAATTATAAGGCAATATTCTGGGTTTGAAAATTGGTTTAGTTTTTTCAATCCACTGCTTGAACTGAACGAAATCCAAACAAATAATTTATTGCATTTCAAATTAATGCATCTTACTGCAATCATGAACGATTTTTTGAGTGCTTTATTCGTCATGCAAATCAAGACTATATTATTTATATTTTAGACTTATAACTGATAGTGGGAACGCGATTTAAGGGGCTTTTGGCATGGCTTCAATTTATTCAACAGATTCATCTCACATCGCCTGAAGGAATAAATTGTGATACTCCAAGTAAGAGTAAACGAATGCTTTACAATAGTGTTGAAGAAATTACCTGTTCCCAGAATAAAGGATAAAATTCTGGAAATAATCCTAATATATAAATCAAAATATTTCAAGATATCATTAAATATCTATTAGATCTAATAATCTAATAAATTATTTTCTATAATCTATAATAATAAATTATAAATAAATTTCTTTTCTATAATAAATTATTTACCACTTTTATTCAACTGTCTTTTTACAGTATTTCATTTTATAAAATTATAAAAGTCAAAATTATAGAAAAGTTTATAAAAAATTAAAAAAGTTAGAATAAAAATGTTTCAATTGCAACAATAGCTGTAAAATAGCTGTAAAAAAAGTTCTTATTTAAGTAAGGAAATATTTAGCGCCCACCAGTTCTGCTTTAGCCTCTTCCGTTGGTTGTTCAAGCAGGGTTTTTTTACCAGAGAATCATGTGGTCTTAGAAATATGATCGATAGCTTTTTTAATGACAACCTTATTCCTGCCAGGACACTTTACTGAACACTTTAAATTAATCCACTCATCTGTCTTATCCTTTATATTTTGTCATTTATAATAGCGTGGATTTCTTTAAATGAAATTATCAGAGAAGGAAAAAATTCTTGCACCAATCACCAAATATGAACAGTAATTATTTGGTCACCCAACATAATATGTAATATGTAGCAAGAAATCCAACATCAAAGGTTTTTTATTTAAGCGGGGAGATCAAAGGGGTCAGGGAACTAGAACTGGTTGAAATTATTTCAAATTTCATGATAATAAAAATGAAAAAATCGATTTAAACTGAATGTAAATATAAAATGTAAATATTTATGTTTTAAGTGGTTATATTTATATGGCAAAAATTAAGAATAACATTCGATAAAATTTGGAATTTTGTTCTTAAAAAAATCAGTCATCAGTTTGGATTAGAATGTCTAAAAAAATATATTTTATAGAAAAATCAATTTAAACCATTTAAAATTTTATAGAAAAAATTTCATAACTATAACAACCAATTTATCTAAGATGGACGCTAAGAATAAAGACAACTATCTAAATATTCAGTTAATAGCTGAAGGTCAATATATATATTTAACTAGGCTGTTATATATGCTTAATAGTCAATAACTGGCTATAGGTTAAGTTAATACTCGGCTGAAGAGCAGGCACAGTAGTTGAGTGGTTTACCCTTAAGGCTCGAATCCTGTCTCCGACAAGAGTAAATGTTGCCTTAAAAAGACGAACAATGCAAGCAATTCTTTTTATTTCTATCCTCGTATGACTACTTCTTAAAAATTTCTTCCTGTGGCATTAACGGAGATCAACCAGAATTGGTGAGCACTGACCATTTATTGGCTTTAAATAAGTTTATACGAAATGTCACCAAATTCACTAACTTTCCATAAATAATCAATGAGACAATTTAAAAATATAATTTAAATTAAAAGAAAATTCCTACAAAATTTACCGATTTATAGTGAAATTTTATTAAATTTTTTAATTTTTGCTAACAATTATTGCATCACTATTTTAAAAAAAACCATCAACAAGCATTAAAAATGAAAAAACTGCCTTATAGCTTTTCAATTAACAATAAAACATAACGAGCATCGAACGAATTGACAAATATTTGCCTAAGCGAGAATTGTAAATAATTATAAAGCAGTGAAGTGCAGTACGATGCGGCGATTCGCCTGGTATCTATGGAAAATTAGACGCAAAAACTGCTAATTGTGCTAAAAAGCAACGATGGATGAATCAATGCCATTTGCTACGAATAACATGGAATTACTTGGAATTACTCGGACCGAATTATCGGTCCGAATTAAGAATTTGTGCTCGGTAAATACAATTTAGATGTTTCGCTTGATTGATAAATCTGATAAATCCGATTTTCGATTCGTAAAAGCTATTTTTATCCGATAAATCTTAAATCTTAATTTTTTTGTGAGTAAATTTGGAAAGTAACTGTAAATTTTTCTTACTTACTACTGTCTTCGAAGTTACAAATCCCATTTCGATGAAAAATTCATCATTCTCTAACATTTTTTTTTTTAGATTCAGTCAAATGAAAAAATCGGCAGCCATCATAAATCAAATATGATAGTTCGTTTAGAAATTTCCATTCATAATTTCCAATTTCCATTTTCCAATTTTATGAGGGAAACCATCAGATAATCATGCAGACTTCGCATTAAAACATATATATACATAAATAAGTAAAGGGCGTTAGTGGTTAGTACCTCCATTTCTAGTTCGATTCACTTTATTCGCTATTTATACGATGAGGAATTTTTACCTGAGAGTCATTTTGGGTTTACCAGTACAAGTCGAGTGACGACTCCTGTTGAAGATGGGATTAGTACCAGTATTGCTCATAGTAGTAATCTAAATAACAATCATTTCGGCTAGTCATCTCCGCACTAAAATTTTCTGCAAATGATGAACACTAATAATATTAGTGGCGATTTCTTCATTCTTTCCTTCAGAAAATTGTATGGTACCGGAATGAATCGTTATAGCAGTGATTCGATAATAATGAAAATAACATTTTCAATAAAATTCGCCCAAAATTATGCGAAAGCTTTACGAATTATTACGAATCGATAGTGATTTAGATCCATAAAATTTCTTAGGAATCCAGCATAAATCAACATTTTTTAGAAAAAAGAATCTTGTTTAGTGCGAATGTGAGAAATATTTCTCAACAAATATGTATTCATATAATCAAAGTTGAAATGAAAAATATTTTTGATAAAAAACCGAGTGGATTTGCGATATTTTACGACTCGAGAGGCATTTATAAGAATAAAAGAAGTATCAAAATTTAAATTAATTTTAAATTTTTAATTTTTATTTAATTAAATTTCAATTTTTAAATCAATTAATTTTAAAAAAAACTATAATAAAAGAATAAACTATAATAAAAAACTATAATAAAACTATAATAAAACTATAATAACTATAATAAAACTATAATAAAAAAACTATAATAAAAATAAAAATAATTTTATATTTCCCACTATAATATGTACATTTTCTCCTTTAATTAATTCTCTTCCTTCAGCTGTTTTCGATTTTTTGATATTTTTTATTTTATATCGAAATTTTTATTCACAATCTCAATATATGTCAATATATATTAATATGTATTCTACATGTTTAGTAGCTTAGGCTATAAAATTTTACAAAAAATTTTCAATAAACCAACAAATAATTTAAAATATTTAATCGATATAATTTGAAAAATTATTGCATCAGCCGAATCAGTAATCAGTGAACTCATATGTATCAACGCCAACTTCTTCATAATCTTTCTCGAGTGCAGCTAAGTCCTCACGTGCTTCCGAAAATTCTCCTTCTTCCATTCCTTCTCCAACATACCTAGAAAAAAAAATTAAATTTATAAGCCATCTGTCTCTTCTAAATTCATAATTTCTATTTGGAAAATCGAAAGCTTTGGTTGAAAATGGAACTCACCAGTGAACAAAAGCTCTCTTTGCATACATTAGATCGAACTTATAATCTAGTCTTGCCCATGCTTCGGCAATTGAGGTTGTGTTCGCAAGCATACAAACAGCTCGCTGAAGCTTGGCCAGATCTCCACCAGGAACAACCGTAGGTGGTTGATAATTTATTCCAACTTTGAAACCTGTCGGACACCTTCAATATTTCAATAAATGTAGGACAATAAAAAAATATGTATCAGAGAAAACTTGTCATTTAAAATAAAATTTTATCAAAAAACTTACCAATCAACGAATTGAATTGATCTTTTTGTCTTAATTGCAGCAATCGCTGAATTTACATCCTGGAAAATACTTTTAGTCCGAGTAACTTTTCATTATTAATGTAGAAATGAATCTAGCCATTTAAATACTAACCTTAGGTACAACATCACCTCGAAATAGAAGGCAACATGCCATGAATTTGCCCTGTCGTGGATCACACTTCACCATTTGATTTCCAGGTTCGAAACATTGATTCGTTATTTCAGAGACCGAAAGCTGTTCATGAAATGCTCGCTCACTAAAATTATGGCTTGAAATTTGATGAAAAATTAAATTTGTAAAGTCAAACTCATTGTCTCTGAGCGAATTTTATATTCTACTTACAGTTACCTTCATAAAATTTGGATAAGAACAGTAAGATTGTTGCTTTGACTAAGATTTTAACAATAATGGCGGCTTTATAGTATGGCAAAGACTCAGTTCTCACCTCCAAAAAGAATAAATACACTACTAAAAAATTCAGGTGGTGAGTCAACTATTTCCAGCTATTTCTTTTGCTATTCCCTGGCAAAAAGCTTTAATCGCACAAACAGCCAGCGAAGCAAGTTTGAGTAGAGTACTTCACTTACTTCATATTCTTAATTATTGAGGGTCAACTTTCTTTGAATGTAAATAAGTGAATAGCCTATTAAAAATATAATCTATTTTTTTCAACTGACTTTCTGGTGAAGAGATTTAATCCTTACGTTCAATAACCAAATTAGAAAAGCTAAAAAAAAAGGATTTCTTGAGTAATGGCCCAGAAAAACCATCAGTATTGTTATGAGTTATGAGTTCTTTATTTTACCAGTTAACTTATTTGGTACTCCTAGTAGCCTGGCTTTGGAGTACTTGAATATATAATTTGTACTTATAAAAATCATATGGCCGGAAAGAGGATGTTTATCAATTTATAATTTATTTATATTATTATTGACATTATTAATTAATAGTTTATTCATAGTAATGAGATGAAAATTTCAATAAAACGAAGGCGAAGCCTTAGGGCTTAAACGAGAAATCAACCAAATTAAGGCTTAAAAATAATTTACCTTGATACGATAGGTGCGTAAGTAGCGAGTGGAAAATGAATGCGAGGATACGGCACCAGATTTGTTTGGAATTCAGTCAGATCCACATTAAGTGCGCCATCGAATCGCAATGAAGCAGTGATTGAAGAAACGATTTGCGCTATCAAACGATTCAGATTTGTGTATGTTGGCCTGAATTCTGGTCAATTCTTTAAAAATCTTCATTGTGATTGTCGGTGGATCATATTTTCTACCATAAGTTACTAAACATTGCTTCTTTAAGGAGGTACAACTATAAAATATCGGAGAATAGAATGGCTCAACGGGTTGTTGCTCAATTCGGAGTGCCCATGCTGAGGTTCTATTCCACGCAGAAGTAAATCTGTTTATAAATCCGGGTGATGCTGGCTGGCGACCCACTTATACTTCTATCGCCAAGGGACTCCCTGGCACATTTATTTAGTGCTATAAAATTGAAGAAAAGAAATTAGTGATATCCATCAAAATACCTAATGATTCCGAGATTCCTTCTGCATATATCATAGATTGCTTCATTGTCAACCATAAATGAACAGTCCGAATGCTCCAGTGTAGTATGCGTTGTTAAGATGGAGTTGTAGGGTTCCACCACCGCTGTACTCACTCTTGGAGCTTAATAATCTCAGTATTTTTTAAAATTTTATTTTTTAAAAAATTTTAAAAAATACATTAGAGTAAATCACTGACAGAGATGGTAGTTAATGTTTTGTTGCACCTGGATATATGCTGAATTCAAGTTTCGATTTCTTTCCATAATCGATTGAAAGCCTTTCCATGAGCAAAGCCGAAAACCCACTTCCTGTGCCACCACCAAAAGAATGAAATATAAGGAAGCCTTGAAGGCCGCCACACATTTCAGTTAGTCCTGAAAACATACACTAAAAACATGATGAATAAAAGAAATTATATTATCTTGGCATGTTGACATATTCCGAAAACTGATTGCAAATAAATTTTCGTTTGGTTCAAGGAATAGCTGATCGAGTTATATGTTGTCAAGAACAAGCCATAATGGATTTGATTTCTGGCCTCTGATAAGAGAAACAAGGGTGAAAATGAAATGTGAGTGGTTCAGCAAATCCAGATGTATTTCTCTTCCCAACTGACCCCCTGGTGAAAGAATCTCACAACAATAGGTATCTCATAATAATAATAGTGGAATCGGAAGTGTTGAGAGCCGTTAGAAGATGAAAAGCGTTGTTTGCTTGCGAATAACTATTTGAAATTTCTTGACAAATTTTAACTTCGGATTCTGTCCATGCAAACATCGATGATTTCTTTGCCAATAGTGTAATGCCCTCGAGCATAATTGTTCGCCGCATCTTCTTTGCCAGTAATTAGTTGTTCCGGATGAAATAAAGTCCTGTATGTACCAGTACGCACTTCATCTAAGTAAATTAGCAAAACTATGGTAAAATTTTCGAGTAGTGGCTTTTTAGTTGTTTTTCATTTATGAGCCAAAATATATGAACTAATTAAGAAGGGTTTCAGCAATTAAGAAAAATATGAAAATTCTACCTACGACCGTCGGCTCGAGATCGATAAATACAGCTCGAGGAACATGCTTGCCTAAATATGAACCAAGTTTACAAGATTTGCATGATTTAGAACATAGAAATTTGTAGTAAATTTTGCTATAACCTTTGCAAATCTGATGAAATAATCACTTATTTGAATAGTTTTTTTGTTGCTGTTCACATGATACATTTAATCGTTCAATGTGAATTAATTTTGGTACTAAGGACAATTTTGAATCTGATTTTTGATCTATCGAACTAATTCAATGTAATTTATTGTAAACGTCAAAACTCCGTTTGAATTTCAGTTTTTGGTTTGTTAAGTTGTATGATAAATTCTTCTAATATATTCACTTTCTATTTGAAATATTTAAAAGACATCGTCCTTACAGAATGATCATTTTAGTGGAAGATGGGGTTCATGCGGCCGAGCTCGACGTTTTTCACTTAATTCATCCATTTGGGATGGTTTAATTACTTCTATTTACAATTATTATTGCCAATACTAATTTATATATCATTTGGGATTTGACTCGATGTGACTGCGACTGTTTTATGGCGAATTATAACTTAATTATGTAATGTTGAATTACCCAAGTTTGAGGTTGAAGTTTGAGGTCAATATTTCTGTTAATAAAGAATTTGCTTGCTTAAAATTTCAATATTTCATACTCCAATTCAAATTTATGGAACAAATCCCGACTAGCGAAATTTATGGAACAAATCCTGACTAGCGAAACAGGTAGAGAATTTGGGAATAGCAAGAGCCCCAATCAGCAATATACAACCAGTTCTTTTATGAAAAATTTTTAATTCTTAGAATTTTGAAATATGGAAAAGTGAAGGCAGATCTTGAATTTCGGCCGAGCGAAAAATGTTCTAAAAGGGCTTTGTCTTGAAATATTAAAATCTTCTCAAAGCTTTATTTATTGCCAATTTTTATTAAAAGACACTTCAATAGTATTTTTGAGAATTTTAAAAAGTAGAAATAAGAGAAATAAGAGAATAAGAGAAATAACTAATTTCGGAAATTATAAATACCACTAAAGTAATTATTAACCGTGAGATGTCTCAGCGAAAAAAGTATTATATGAATCGTCTTCACTGATAAACGCTTGCTCATCGAGTAAAATGCCATTTGGTTGTATACCATGTTCAAGACAATATAATTCCCAACAAGCATTACCGATTTGAACTCCAGCTTGACCGACATGCACCGAAATTACTTCTCGCTTGAAAGTTTTTCATTTTGAACTTACAATGAATGAGCAAAAAGCCCATGATTTTGGTGCACTAAACACCACGAATTCCAAAATTTTTCCATAAATTGCCATTTCATTTATTTCATTGGTTTAAGAATATTTTTCAAATAAAATAGAGGAGAAATGCATAAAAAACAAGAAAAAGAAAAACTTACTCCAATTTTAGCCATAATTTCATCGAATTTTGATTGTTTCACAAATTTTTGCAAAATTTTTTATGTGTGAATTTTCTTCACTAAATTTATGGAATTTATGACTAACAAGGATATTCCCATTAAAAGAAATCGAATTTTCTTTTATTCATTCCAATAATTTGAAAGATTTTTGAAGTAAATCCTACCAGAATATTTCTTATATAAATTCCCCCAACTGACTCCTCTCTGGTGAAAAGATCTCATCCTCATCGCAGTTGGTGCAGCACTAAGCCAAACCGGATATAGCTAGCGATGTTAAAAGAAGAATTGTTAAAATAGTGGATTTTCACTCTTCGAATTGTAAAAAATTATTATTGGTTTTAAAAATTATTTAATTAATTAATAATTAAAAATTTATTTTTTAAAAAAATTTTTATTCTTCAAAACCAAAACCGAAAACCGAAAAAGTTTCTATTAATTATTTCTAATTATTTGTTTACTTCTTCGTTTGTTTTGCAGCGGTTTATAAATAATTTGTTTAAAATATAAAAACAAAATTTTTTAAGGAAAATATTATGGCGTTATAGAAAGAATTTGCTTAAATTTTGCTTGCAAATAACTTTTATAGAGTTTTAAAGAAATCGACAGTTACAGGCGGTTTATTGCAACGACTTACTAAAGGAGAGGATAAATGTGCATAATTCTGATATTAACTTATTAGCCATACTAGTGGTTTGATTCTCATTTCGGACTAAATTTAATACTTTCTGCTTACTTTGATGAGGCATGAGGATTCAATTCTCAACCTTTGGTGGAAGTAAGCCTAAGTAAGAGTGAATATGCTGAAAATAACGACCACTGAAAAGTTTTAGGGAAAAAGTGGCCACAAAAGGAAGATTGAATAGTTTTTCAGAATATATACGATACGATAAGATAAACGACTAGAATTAGCGGATTTTAGTGGCAAATAAGCTGTGAATGCCAATAAATATTTGGAAAAAATTTGGTTCACCATTTCCGCTTTTTTTCTTTATGTATCCAGGAAGAAAGCAATTTTCGCTTCATTCGTTTAACGATTGGAAATTTGGAAATGTGAAATATTCGCATATTATGTATACTAATTTAATAGACTTTATCTTTTGAAATACCTATATATTTCCTAAGACCAAACATTACCCATTCAATTACCCATTAATATTTTTCAGCCAAAACCAGAGAAAAAATTCATTTTATCTGTCCTTTTGGAGTACAAGAAAATTCTTAAATTTTCAAGTATTTATCTCAGATGCAATGGTTTTAGTAAACCAATAATTATAGATTTTCAAACATTTGTTTTTACCTTATATGCATCGCAAGAAAATATAATTTGCTTAATTTACTATACGAAAAGTTTTTTTGATATCAATTTTAATATTTTATCATTTTCCCAATCACTTATCATTTATATCAATTTTAACATTTTATTCGCGAGGTATTAACATATACGATCTGTTTTCTAGATTTTTGTTTACCACTCATCAACCATCAACTTTTCATTGAACAAAATAAACAATTTGCAGGAATCCGGTTCGAAAATTGAGAACCTAAAACATCGCATAATGAAGAAGTTAGGTGGTGCTTATTTATTCTGCCTTTTGCCTTGCTTTACATTTGTGTATCTCACAGCATGACTGTTACTTGGGGTAAGTCACTTTTATTCTTAATCATTGGGATTTCGGTGAATTTAGTAATATATGTTATGAAATGATGGAAATCTTTGGTTAATATGTTTTCTTAATTAATTATTTGAGCAATTATTGTTATTATTGTATAAACGATCCTTCTATTATGTGATTCAGATCAAGAAATGCGTGAAATGTTTCGACACCATGATAAGGATTTGAGTGGATTTATCAGTAAAGAAGATGTGATGTGCATGCTACTTGCTGCAGATAAAGTGTTTATATCCGAATTTTTGCTGAATAACAACCATACTATTCGATTATATGAATTTTTGAATTTTTAGGATGAATAATTTTATCAATAAAGAAAGCCAATATTCACCAATATTTATCGCTGAATTACTTTTCACTTTTTTTTTAATAAAAATGAGGAAAAAAGAGGGCAAAATAGAAGTTGGAGAGAATTTACTCTTCAAGCAAAAATCATTCGCGATTGAATAGAAAACAATTTAAAAGCAATTCGGTTGAAAAGATTTTAGGAAATTCCAGAAGTAACTTCAGGAATCTAATAAATCATTTTTAGGGTGAAAAGAGAGACCCAATTTTTAAAACAAATCTGAGATTTCTAATCAATTTGATCAATAGCGCGGATAAGAATGGCGATGATAAAATAACTTTTGAAGGTATTATTTTCAATTCATACTAGAAAGTACTAGATTTTTGTAGGCAAACACAGTATTCAAAAATTCTATATTATGAAATTTAAGATGAGAAGAAATTCTTTGGTTGTAATCGTTTTATTTTTTTTAAACCTCCTTTCTTTCAACTTTCATATAACGCGATTTTAATCATCCATTTTTATGAATATGAGAATTAGTGTATGTATTAGGTTAGAGATTCTTGGCATCAGTAAGCCTACTACTAAGAAATTTGACTGGGATTTGTCCATGCATTTGTCCTGAATTGACAAAATTCTGATGCTAGAATGGTTATATTCCACCATTAGCCAGTGGAATAAGCCTATTCAAAAATGGTGAGCTTTTGCTTACTTATTGCTAAGTGACTGATTAAAGTGAAATTATTTTCCTTAAAATTCTATCTTTATTTCGCAGTAGTGGCTTAGCATTGCGCAATGTGTGTTCTTCACGACATTAAATATCCATGAACAACATTAGCAACAACTTTTTTCAATTTCTTTTTAGTATTTTTTTCCCCAAAATTTTATCGAAAAAGCTTATTTCCTTGAAGCATTCGACTAGAAAAAAATATCTCTTTTTTCTCATTACGCTCTAACTTATTATGCAGTTAATATATTCATTTTTTTGAGCATTTTATCGTCAAAATCAAACTTTTCAGAATTTAAAGAATATATACAGAAAGTAATTACTAATCATGAAAATCAATGAATTTTTATTTTTCATTATTTTTATTAAATGTGTGTTCTTTTTTGCATTTATCGAACAGTTATAATTAATAAATCTGGATAGTCGTATTCGAATTGAGCAAAAGGCAAAAAATTTTTGATAATTCATAATGCAGCCAAAGTGGAAAAGGTGATTGCCAAAATATTGTCTCCTTTAAGGAAGAGATGCTTGCATATAACGCTCTTCCAGATAAAAATTACCAATTAAGCTTTTCAAATGTATAAGAAAACGTAAAGAAAAGGAAAATTCGCTTTTGTGAAGATCTACCCAATATATATTAAAAAAACGAGCAAATTTGCTTAAAAAAAAATGAATTTTTTTAAAAAAATGAAAAATTATAACAAAAAAAAATTAATTGAAGGTTACAAAGATTTTAAAGATTTTAATTCATCGAAACTGTAACAGTTTCGAAAAAATCATCGTAAAAAAAGATTTCGAGAAAAAGCCACGTGTGCACAAATGTTTAAGCAATAAATCCCATATTTTATATGCAAAAAATTTAAGTACTATTTTTTCACACGAAAAATCGTTGTCAAACCAATTATTTTCACGATCGATCTCATTCAGAACCCATTTAAAAATTTTTTAACTCTCATAGAACCAAATAAAAAATGTTTTTTGTCCCTTGGACGATTAACAAACCATCCATCACCAATCGAGGAATTTTTCTTCGAAGAATGCAGAAAATAAGCTACTGGGGAATACGACGAAAAAATAAAAGAATGTGACATGAGAATATCAATTAACCACATCTACTGCTGCAGTTTGATACCTACATTCATAATTAAAAATTTTACAGCCAACAACTTCTACACACATTTAATTATACTATATTAATATATCTAGCTAAGTACGATAACCAGGCGGTAATCTCGGGGTTGGACAATGATCGCAACTTCCAGGCTCACCTGGCGGTCCATCAGCACCTACTGCGCCTGTAACGCCAGGTTTGCCATAAGGTCCTGAAATATGAAATTTAAATTACGGATAAGAGTAAGATCAAAAAAGATACGAAAAAGAGGAGTAGTTTGTTTAACACTGTTTCGCAGGCCTAAAGTTGCAAATTATTAAATATACCTTTGCTGCCATCATCTCCTCTTCGTCCAGGTGGTCCCTTTTTCCCTGTTTTACCATCTGTTCCAGGCAAACCACGTGGTCCCATAGGACCCATAATACCAGGTCGGCCAGGAGGACCAGGTGGGGCAATACCAAGAATGCGTTTGCCAGGTTCTCCTATGTTTCCAGGCCATCCTAAAATTTTAGTCGATTTCTTCTCTAAAAAAATTGCCGATTTTTTCAGTTTGTTTAATTTACGAAAGCTGATCAATTTATAAAGAAAGGATTACCAGGTAAGCCAACAAGACCAGGTGACCCCTGAATTCCTGGTGGTCCATTTTCTCCAGGAACTCCAGGTGGCCCGGGTTCTCCTGTTTCACCTGAATATCCTCTAGGCCCCTTGTCTCCTGGTTGTCCTGCTGGACCTGGTGGCCCTGGCGGGCATTCTTGAATACAAAGTTTTATTGGTGATCGCAGATCGGCATCTGAAAATGAATTTTGTTTATTAATTCTGAATATTTGAAATCTCGATTTTTATGTTAAATTGTTTTGCACAGAAATCAAAAATATTAGTATAAAAAATTAATTTATTTTTTGTTTAATTAAGCTTTGCAGACTAAATTAATTAAATGATTAAATAAGTGCGTGATTTATAAATTAAAAAATTCCTCTAAGTTAGAATTTCAGATAGAACCTCTTCCAGGAGTTCCATTAAGTCCAGGCTTCCCATCTTTTCCGTTTTCTCCATCAATGCCAGGCTCACCAGGCAGTCCAGGGGGACCGATTGTGCAGCTACAGCCTGCAATAAAAATTTGTAAATTTGTTTACTATCAATTACAAATTATCAGGATTATTTCGACTGGATTTTTATTTGTATATTCACGATCCGTAATTTTCGTTTGCTTTTCGACGAACTTATGTGAAGAATAACATAGTTTCTTATATTTTCCCGATATTGTTGTGGGTTTTCGAATTTCATTTATAGCATCATCAGTCGCCTTAGGGCGATCATGATCAGTCTCATGGCCAGTGACATTATTCTCCTCATCGGTTTCAAAACTGTCGGTGTCGCGCCTTTGTCGATGATAAAGTGCTTTTGAACTTTGTCTAAAAATTATAAATATTTGGAACAATATCGAAATTTTTCATATTTAATCTCAAAATAAATATACTTTTTCTCAGTTATATTTTAAAATCCTCAAGCTACCTGTGGTTAATGTGTTTTTGTATGAGCTCAGCAAATAACCGTGGACTATTTATATTTGCATATTCTATTGTTCTTTTCGCTTTATCATTTTGCCCTTTTGCAAGTTGAACAGCGATAACTTCATACCAGAGGTCTCGATTACGACTCTAAAACTGGTCCAATGATTTTCTAAGTTAGCATCCAATCGGCTTTTTCATAGGGTGTTTCTTTCAAGTATTCTTCAAAAAATTTTTTCTTATCAAGGTTAACTGCTCAAAATTAATTACCCACTGGTTTAATAAGACAACAATGACAACCTTGCAAAAATCCATGTCATTCAACACATTACTTTGTAGTCGTTGAACATATTGATATGATAATGGTGCAAAAATAATGCAAGAAAGCATCGTTACAGTGCTAAGAGCAACTGCAGAAAATGCTAAACGACGGAAATTCTTCATGTCAATTTCCGTATATTTTTGAAACATTCCGTTGTCGCTATGTTGACCCATTTTCATGATCAACTTTTTTAGTATTCTCGCAAACGATATTCTTGAACCACAAATTTCGATCGCAAGAAACTAAATATTAATGGAGCAAAAAAAATTTTAGCAATACAAAAATTATTTAGGAATATCTTTCGCAAAGTTTCTTTGGGAAAAAACAAGTTTAAAGGGATCGTTGCCTATAATCAACCAACTTGAAAATTACAGGATAATAGAGGATATATATATATGACGATAAAAGACTATAACTATGGAACTGTCTTGAAAAAATCATGTCCGAAGTAGAAAGAAGTAAAATAGAATCAAATATAAAAAAATAGTTTTTGGTAAGACGAATTCTATTATGAAAATTGAGTCCAAGTAACTGCTTGGAAACTGATTTCTCTCCCAGTTGAATAACTGACGAAAGGCTTCCACTTTAACCAGCAAAACAAGGAATGGCTGTTAAAAAAAGGAAAATAAAAAATGATAAAAATATTTTTTAATAAAATGTTTTGTATATTCTGTTTGAATACCACTGATGAAGGAATTTATTGCAGAATAACTATTTTTCAAACAGATGTTATTATTTATAGGTTTAGCTGGTACTATTAGCTATTGGAGTGAGATTGCTTTGTCAATTCGAAAAGAAACTGTAGAGGGGTATTAATAATTAAGCGGTACAAATTTATTGAAAGAGGAGCATCGAACTCATTTATATAATTCACAGGTGATTTATATAATATATATATATATATATATATATATATATGCCACCCGGGCATTTTGCCCATATTGCAAAAAAAGGTTCATAAAAATAAATTTCAATAGGCAAATAGTAAATGATAAAAGCGAGATGGGATTTTTAACAAAAAACGGCCTCAATGATCCTATCCAACGATGAAACTTTAATATATATTGGAATATTTGGTTTATCTCAATTAACCATCACTTCATAAACTAGATTGGAATAATTTGAGAGCAATCTGTCACAATAATCCAAAATTTTTCTAGACTTCTCACTAAAAGTAAATGTTCAAACCAAGCCAAATTTGCAAATCAGAGGTTTCAAACAACACTTGCTAGCCTAATGAAGCGTCCCAGTCAGCAGCATCATTTAATTACACTTATGGCTCTACTGAAAAATACCAAATATTTTTTATTTTCAATATTTAAACTTAATTTCAATATATTTAATTCAATATATTTTAGACTTAATTTTTTTGAAATAAAATTTAAATTGTTATATTCGACCGCTTTCCATTTCTGATTAATCTTTTTTGGTTATCCTTATGATTATTATTATTATCATTAAAACAATAATTTCTTAGTGGATTGGAAATTGATAAAAGTGATAAAATCAAAAAAAAATTTTTTTCAAAAGATGTCGAAAAATCTTAAAAATTCATATCGTTGTTTTGTCAGGAAAATTTTCTAAAGAAAGATCAACGAGGAGAAAAATAGATGGATAAAACAGGAAAAACAATTTTATCTGTTAATTTTATCAAATCTCTAAAGATGATTTTTTGACAGGCGAAAGAAACCGTTGGAAGGAATCGCATGTTTCGAAAAGATTTGAGAAATTTGGAGGATTTTTTTAAAAATTTATTCAAAAAACTACCATAAAATTAAGAACGCAGCACCTCATGGTTGTTAAGTTGGCTGTTGTCGAAAAATGCCTTTAAATGAATAAAATCGTTGTACAGCTTGCAATGGTTCTTTCGCTGATCTGAGGATCTCTTTTATACTTTAAAAATTATTCATTTATCTATTTACCTCATCAAAAATCAAAACTGGAAAGTTTTTCAAATATTTAATTATTAAATCATTTAACTTTCTTAAATAACTTGCAAAATTTTCACACTTCGCTAAGGATTAAGCCAAGCCTAATCGTATATCTTAGAAAAAAGGACAATTCAAATAATATCTTATAGGTTGCATACACCTTGAGAAGGTATCTCTGAACTTCCTTGAACCTTGCTTTGAGAAATGCTTGCTTGCTTGTGGTATGAAAACCTGCATCAGGGCAGCGCTGTGGATCCGACTACTTAAATCCCTTATTCATTCTTTAGCGAAAGTTTCATTTCAGTAGCCAATGGAATAAATCTAACCAGAAATGATGGCAATTAATCACTTATTAACTAAAACTATATAAGTTCTTTGCATCGTACAGCAGACAACTATAACTTTAATTTGAATGAGGAAAAATGCTTGGAATTATTTGTTGAAACAAAGATTAAGCAGAAGATATGGGCTCCTGAAAGGAATAAAGAGAATGAAAAAACAAATGAAAATAAAAATAAAAGTATAACTATTGTGTTATCGCCAAGAGATATTTGTCCTCCTTGGCATATTTGTCCAGTACGATAAGCCATCGGAGTGAGATGAACCAGTAATGGTGAGCATTCTTAGAAAAAAAGAAAAACTAGTATTATCAGCCAAAGAACACAGGATCTGTTTGAATTAAATGATATGAATGATGGATATTGGCCAAGGCAAAAACGATAAGCCAACCATGGAATTATGAGCCATCACCTTAACCTTGCAAACAGATTTCCCAATCTTCACTGCATTACCTCCTGAATTATTTAAATTTCATAAGAGATTATAAAATTTCGTAGTTCCAAGATCGAAAAAATCTGATTGATATTTTCTTTCAAATATCAATCAGATTTTGTTTTATTCTATCAATCCTTATAAACCAAAATTTCATTTATTTTATTTATTAAAAAAATTTATTTATTACAAATTTTATTTATTAATATGTTATTTATGTTTTGATATTATATATATTGTATTTTATATTATATTATTATATATTATTATATTATTGATATTATATTTTTATATATTTTTATATTATATTTTTGACACAATTATTAGCAAAATCAGAATTTAAGCGGCGCATAAAATGTTTTCGAACGTTTTCAGTTAATTTAACAGAGTTCTTTGACCAATGGAAGGAATATTATAAGTGAGGAAAATTTTAGAAGGAAAATTGAAGAATTTAAAAATTGAAGAATTACTTTCAAATAAATTTAAAATTTTTGACGATTATTTGATTAAATTTCTCTCATGAAAATTAAACTTAAAATTATATATCAATCTTAAAAAAACGAATTATGAGACATTACCATTTGCCACCATTTATTTACCTTAATAAGTATTCGAGGAGGATTGGCAGATTTCAAATTGTTATATAAAATTTCATAGGATGGATTAATCTCTGATTATAAATTTCTGAAAATTTATCTAATTAATTTTGAAATTTTTTGGCGTATATACATTCAGTTATAGAGGATGGCCTATATCATTCAGCCAAAGAGCCTAAGCCATAAAACGAAAAACTCAACGATAGATTTCGAGTGGAAATATGAAATGGCCAGTTTGAATGCATTTCATCAATATATATCATATTTAATGAATGTAATTTTATGGAAGAAATCCTTATGTCTCCATTTGCTTTTATTCCTTCCTCTGCAATGAATTTTTGTAATTTTCTATTTATGTAAAAAAATTATCAAAAAAATAATCAGAGGATGGTTGAGTAAAATATTGCTCAAACTATAGCTTTGATAATTTGTCTCTCGACAGAAGTAAATTTGGAGTAAATCAAAAAAGAAAATCCGGTTGGCTGTACTGACTCCTTTTTAATAAGTTTCTCCAAAAACGATTCTCTGTTTCATTCCAAACTAAACGAAAAATGCAATTTCACTTCAGATTCAGCCGAAAATGTCATTTCTAAGAAAAATCTCCACAGAGATCAAAAATTCGTTCACGATAGTCGTTTAGATCTTTAAATCTTCTCTAAGAGTAATTCTCTAAGAGTAATTCTGTCATGAAGAGAAATACGGGTAAATCTATCATTAATATAGTGAAATCCGAGAGATACGAGGAAAGGATCGGAACAGCTGAATGGATGCTGGATTTTATTATCGTCTTAACTAAGGAGGCAAGGCTTCGTGCCAGCGTAATTGTTCTTCTTTTTATATTTGCCAATATTCAGAATAATAAGTAAGGTATCGTCCTTAATCTTCCTTAAATTTGTTTTAAAAAGTAGAGAAATGAAATCTTTTTGAATTATTTTCAGAGCATAAAAATCTGAGCTTAAAATAAGAACAAAATATCGTTCCTTTCGCATAAATAAGTACCAATTTTTGCATTACCATGTCGTTTATTCAACAATAAAATGCATAGTTTTATATTATGTTGTATTATATTATATTTAAACATACTGAAAAGGAAAAAATGGAAGAAATTTGTTTAGAAGACTTACAAGCGAGAACAAGAAACAGCGTTATGGAATAAATAGTTTGCAAAAAATTTCTTGAAATTATACATCACCACTTGGCATAAAAATTGATTAACTTGATAAGAGAATTAATCAAATGAAATTAGTCTATTTGGTTCCTAAAATTCATATTAGACCATCTTTAAAACCATTAATTTGATATTTCAGACCAATTTAAAATTTTTTCTATGAATTTTTGCTTCATACTATGGATTCAATGCTCTAAGTGCAAATACATTCAGTATTTTTGGTACCACATTTTGCGATGCAAAAGTGCAAGCAAAATTATGAATTTTTGCAAAGGCCTTACGATTTTTAATAAAGATTCTTTCTCTGAGATTTGTCGAAATTTACCTTATTCTGCCATCTATATAATAATAAATTCAACTTGCCGAGTTCCACAACAATAATAAATAATGATTTATTTTTTTTCTTTTTCTAAAGTTTAGAGGACCATTTAGGGATAAAAGGCAGGATTCTTGGCATCAACTAGCGATATATTTTTAATTGGATTTAACTGGATTTTTTTTTCACTCAGCCAAAGAGAGTTAAAAAAATTTACTATTTTCGAAGATATCTTCTTGATTATTAGCTCGATTATTGCATTGTTGAAAATTAACAATTAATCTTCAGTTTATTAAGCAACAGCGGTTGATATCAGCGTTAAAGTATTCTCAATATTTAATATTCGTGTATTTAACTTTTATTTAGATGATGAGATCAAACCAGTTTAAAC